GCAACACAATCTCCTCCTCGAAACATTGCACTTGATATTCTGCTGCCGTTGTATCTCAAAACCTAATTCTACATTTTCTGATTCCTGCAAGACGTTATAAAGATTCATTAACAGGCTTCTGGTTTCCTTCAAACCACAGAGTAATATCTCACATGTAGTCAAATTCTGAGGAATATTATGACCTTTTACACAATGCCTGATATGAAATAAACCTTATACAACAAAATTCTCAGAGCTTTCGTTTTCATACAAATCTAATTGTATTTATCACGGTTCCATTAAAAGAGAAACCCATCATTTTAATAAAACCACAGTCCTCCCATAAGACAAAGCTTCCAAGTATATTTACCTTATTAGATCTTCCATTATGAAATATGAGTGCTAATGGAGAAACTTTTAGCATTCAAACTGGGTAAATTGTGAGACCACTAAGAGTTCCTTTTTTACCAGTCCCTGGCCTTTATATTTCATTATAAAATTTAAAATCTGCAACATAGCTCTTAGTGGATCCCAGGATTTTAGCATGCTGCCACAGGGAGCAACCCTATTTACAGAAAGTTGGCATAAAGCAAACCAGTGTGAATTAAGCTGGTGTAAAGTTACACATTAAATCTGAATCCCCTCATCTATTCCAGATTTGGTGACACCTTGACATCTTTCTTAATATTCTGATTACAAGCTGCCTAAATTTCTCAAATACAGTAGTTTGAAAATGAAAAATAATAATCATCATGGTCTGTGTCAGTTTATGATTGTTTTAGTTCATAAATAAGAATTTTCTGGATCCCTACTAGAATGTAGTTGGTTAAGGGAGCCATCTCTAGGATGGTGTGGCATTCAGCCAGGTTGGGGGTGGAGAATGCCTTCTGGAAGCATCACTATGTGGTGGCAACATGGTCAACTCTTTAGCCATGTTGAAAAGGATTCTTTAACAGCAGTTCAGCTGTTCCCTTACTCCAGAATACTATTTTACAGTATTTAAAGCCACAGACTTAGATTGGAACCAATGATATTCATACAATACTAATTTTATTGGTTGTTGTTGTTATTATTGTTGTTTAATATTTAATAAAAATTATTATATTTAACAAAACGTATATGCCTCTTAAATTTACATAAAACCTCCAAATGGTTTACAAAGGATATACAATATATATTAACAATGTAAATAAAAATCAAGGTTAAATACAAGTTTATAAAAAACAAAGTGAGTAAACTTAATAGTTAAAAGTGAAAATTATTTTATATTTGGTATTTATTTTTGTTAGGACACTTTGAGCTTTTATTGTACAAAATGACTAACCAAATTCATAATTAATATTGCAGATTAATAATTTTACCACAACTGAGCCTGGGTTACAATGTCATTTTGCAACAGAAACCAAATGCGCTTCTTTTTTTCCTCCATTCTCTTCAATGAGTTGTTTATAAATTTTGGAGGGCAACGAAGCAGCAAAAATCTGAAGCTTGTTTATAAGTACTGTGTCAGTAGGCTGAATAATGTTTTGATTACCCCCTTCTTTAAGCAATAAAGGAACAATCACAATGTTTTGAATTGTGGGGAGAATTAAAAATAATCATCACACACAAAACTGTGGTCAGTCCATAGCAGCATTTTCAACATGTTCAATAGCTATAATTCAGGGAGAAGCAACTACAGAGTATTTCGGTTGGGTTTTTTAATCCTACGTTTCTGTCTTTTTTGAGCCCCAAAGCAAGTAAACACAACCACTAAGTACTCCTAGCCTTTCCTATTCAGCACAATATCCTTAACTTGGTGCACTGATATCAGCTAGTAAAAGAAACTGAAATCCCTACAAATTTGAGCATACTTGCCTAAAAATCTTATTGAAAGATGGGAATTTTACAATAAGGAATGCAAGCCTAGGTGGAATAAATTCAATCCAATTAGTATTTCTTTGCAACAGTGAGTGAGTTTGGAAAATGCTGTATCGTTTTCAAGTATGATTGCAATTACTTGTGAACCTTAAATGTGGTGTCTAATGAACTGGACGTGACATTTTGTTGTTGTTGTTTAGTAGTGTCTGACTCTTTGTGACCCCATAGACCAGAGCACGCCAGGCACTCCTGTCTTCCACTGCCTCCTGCAGTTTGGTCAAACTCATGCTGGTAGCTTCGAGAACACTGTCCAACCATCTCGTCCTCTGTCGTCCCCTTCTCCTTGTGCCCTCCATCTTTGTGCCCTCCATCTCTTGGAGCCTCAGCTTCATGATCTGTCCTTCCAGTGAGCACTCAGGGCAGATTTCCTTAAGAATGGATCGGTTTGATCTTCTTGCAGTCCATGGGACTCTCAAGAGTCTCCTCCAGCACCATAATTCAAAAGCATCAATTCTTCGGCGATCAGCCTTCTTTATGGTCCAGCTCTCACTGGATGTGTAGTAGATGTGTGATTTGAGTTTCTTTGCTTTTTCCCCTTCCTCCTAGCTTTTCAGGCACTGAAGCTCTCCTCCCTTTACCCTTTTAACTCTGCACTCAGCAGAGCTGTGTTGCTTCCAATAACCATTCAGCCAGAACCTTCTTGTGCCTTGCCTTGCCTGCTTCCCACAGGCATCTGGCTGGCCGCTATGGGAGCTGGATATTGGATTGGGCCACTGGCCTGATCCAGCAGGCTCTTCTGTGGCCCTTATGCGAAATTGGTGAATTAGATATTTGTCCAGAATAGACAACCAGATGCCTAATTGCAAGGCATGCACCATGCCAAGTATGAAGATGGATGCATCTGTGTCAGAATAACACAATTTCCAGTCAGCCGCCTGTCATGGGGCTGAAATACATTTTGGTAATGCAAGCCATCCATTTTATTTACATGAAAGTCATCCTGTAACAAGCCCTTGTTATCCTTTATGCCTCTTCCCTCCCGCTTAAAAAAAAGAAGAAGAAAAAAGACTACAGGCCATTGTGGATTATTATTATTATTTTTTTAAAAAAGAAATAATAAAAATAAAAGATGAGTAGAACATATTTATCAAATGTATTTCCTGAAAAGACAGATTAATGGCCAGCTATTGTGCCAAAGTGAAGAAGAGATGGATGGCACACTTATAAAGTGTGTCGAAACTTTCCTAAGCGCTGTGCAGATATTAAAAGGATAAGGCAGTCTCTGCCACAGGCTCATTATCTAACCATCGCAATACTGGATTAAAAAAAAAAAGCAATGAGACGGTAAGAGGAAGGCAAACACTGGAGCAGCTGCACCTTCTTTGGCTGAGGGTATCAGAATCATTGGGACACGGGTGGTGCTGTGGTCTAAACCACTGAGCCTAGGGCTTGCTGATCAGAAGGTCAGCAGTTCGAATCCCCATGACAGGGTGAGTTCCTGTTGTTTGGTCCCAGCTCCTGCCCACCTAGCTGTTCGAAAGCACACTAGTGCAAGTAGATAAATAGGTACCGCTCCGACGGGAAGGTAACTGGCGTTTCTGTGCACTGCTCTGGTTCGCCAGAAGCGGCTTAGTCATGCTGGCCACATGACCCAGAAGCTGTCTGTGGACAAACGCCGGCTCCCTCCGCCTATAGAGCAAGATGACTGCTGCAACCCCAGAGTCATCCGCATACCTTTACCTTACCTATCATAGAATCATAGTGTTGGAACTTGGAAGGAACCTTAAGGATCATCTGGTCCCGTGGTTCCCAACGTGGGGCACACGCCCTACAGGGAGGCAATTTGATTTTTAAGAGGGGCAATTCGAGAATGAGTTGTTAACAGTGAATGACATTTAGGCTTCCTCCATGTGAGTAGTTCACTTTTTGAATAATAAGAATTATATTGGGGGTGGGGGGAAACCACCAGGATTTAGAGATGCTCAGGTGGGGCATGGCCAAAAGTTTGGGAACCACTGATCTAGTTCAACCTACTGTAGCCCAGGAATCTTTTTGCCCAACGTGGGGCATGAACAGGCCCAGACAGGCCCATATGGGCCACTTGGCCCGGGCCTCCGATTCCAAAGGGAGCCTCCGTCAGCATATTCACAATCACAGGGGATGCCACGATAAGGCGAAGTTGCTTGATTTTTTCCTGTGTAATTCAAGAATTCTCAGAAAAGAAAGCTAGGAAAGCATTTTTAAATGTAAATACTTAAAACAATCCTTTTCGCTATGTAATTTTAAAAAGCACTATTGTATAGCTATATTTTCCATTTTGTCTTTATATGCAGATACGGTTCAAGCCTTGAAATAAAATTATGTGTCAGCATAACTTTTGTGAAAATTATCTATATACTTACTTATTTATAAGACTTCAGTTATCCCCAGGGTAAAAAAAAGGGGGGGGCACATTATCTACCCGGCCGGGGCCTCTGCCTGCCTCTGCAAGGCCCTGGGCATGAACCAAGGACCCCGAGATTAATAGCTTCGTGCTCTACTGACAGAGCTACACCTTTCCACGATGCTTGGCGATGGAGAGAGGTGGCGAGTCTAAACCAGGAGCGGGACCATCCTAGCTCTTGAGCCGCCTCGATGCCTTCGCATAGCATCGGGCGCAGGAGGAGGAGGAGACCCTCCGGAAGAGCTGCTCCCTCGGGAGGCAGCTTGTAAACAGGATGCTTCCTTCTGATGCGCTACTACAGGGGTGGCCCCAACTCCCAAATGACTGCGCTATACTCACAGAGTTAAAAACTGGCAGTGATCTGCCCCCTTTTTTGGGGTTCAGGTCAAAGTTCTTGAGCTTTTTTTAAGGAACAAAGGCCCTGTTTTGGGGGTTTCAGGTGAAAGAGTTGTTGGGCTCTTTTTTTAGGGAGGAGGGAAGCCCCGTTTTTGGGGGTGCAGGGAGAAAATGATGAGCTTAGGCGAGCCAAAGTTGTTGAGCTTCTATGGGAGGAGCTGGTGATCTACCACAGACGTCCAGTGATCTAGCGGTAGATCACGATCTACCTGTTGGACGTGCCTGCGCTACTACAAGGGGGAAAGCAAGGGAACGTCGAGGGGGCGGGCAGCAACCGAGGGGCGTGGCTTCCGAGGATGGTGCGCCTCGCATCTCGGCCGGGCGCGCCAGAACTTTTCCTCCTGCGCCATGTGATTTCCCCCCTCTCTCTCTCCTCCACCCCTTTCCCCCTTCTTTCTTCCTCGACAGCGGGAGCCGCGCAAACTTTTAAAGCCCCCTCCTTTTTTTTGGCAAAGGCTGCGGGCAGTGACGACTTTCGAAGGGGTGGTGGCGGCGGATCTCGCTGGTTGACATAGTAACTCCTCTCTCTGCTCGCCTTAGTCGGTGTCTGCCGCCGCCGCCACCGCTACCTTCATGGACTGCAGCGAGCGACCCCGGCAGCAAAGCGAAGGCGAAGGGCTGCTCGGGGCTTCGCTGCCTCCGCTGGAGCTCCGGCGACCCCGGCTCCTCCTTCGCCATGGGGACACCGCGCTGCCCGTAGCTGCGAGCGGCGGGCGCGCCAAGCAGGCGAATCTCCTCCTCGGCGGCGGGAACCCCGGGGTCACTTTTTCTCCTTATTTCTGAAGGAAAGGCAGCAGCCCCGAGTGCGAGGAGCGCCCCACTCTCTCCCCCCCTTTGTGTGTGTGCGCGTCAGGTGTTTTTTTTGGGGGGGGTGTCATCCTTTAAATAATTCGAGGAGAAGGAAACGAGGGGCTTTCTCAGGGACGACGACCCCAAGCAAGAGCGGGGTGAAGAAGCAGCAGCAGCGCCATGAGCCAAATTGGCCAGCCGCCCTTCGGGCCGAGCTGCTCCCCGGCGGCGAGCGGGGCGCGGAGGAACGACAGCCGCGACTACCTGCTGATGGACTCGGAGGCGTGTGAGGAGAACTGCACGGCGCCCTACGCTTACTACCCCGCGTGAGTGGCTTTTTCCCGCCAAAGCGAGGGGGTGGGCGCCGCTTTTTGGAGAGGGGTGGAAAGTCAGGCGCGTCTCTTTCCCTCACGACGACGACGACGGTGTGGGAATAGGGCAGAGAGAAGCCAGCTGCGCGCGCTCTCGTTTTCGAAACACAAGAGTTCAAAGGGGGTCGTGTGAAACAGTAGCGGGGCTGCTATGAGGCCGGGCTGACTCGCTTCCCGGATCCAGAGAGCTTCCTTCAGGGAGCTCCTCTTGGCGCGCGGAGCTTTTCCCCTCACGGAGCTGCACCTGTGGCTTCCAGCCTCCCCCGTTGGGAAAGGGGAAAAGCGCGGGAAGATGTGGGAGGGCTGGAGGGGGTGGGCGATCCTTATCTAGGGAGCCTTTCCGCCGTGGGGTTTGAAGGAAGCGGAGGAGCCAACTTCTAGGGGGCGAGGCCCCCTTCGTCCCCCACAATAAAATATCTGAGCCCCCCCCCAAAGTTGAGGAGCATTGCCATTCGAATGGTGTGCCATGTCATGTGATCATGCGGGGCGGGGCTTACCTGGGGCGCCCCCGCCCTCAATATTTTATTCAAATCGGCACCCGTGGAGGGAAGATAGGGAATAGGTGGCAGGCGCTGGTGGTTTCTCTCGTATAAGAGTGCAATGGAGTCTGTGTGTTTTTCTCCATGGGTGCAGCCAGGATTTTTGCTGGGGGTGGGTGCAGAATCTCAGATTTGTATTGATGTTGATTGATTGGGGGGGAGGCAGCCCCTCTTTCCATCACAGGGTGGTGTGGGAGATTGAGGGTGGCGTTAGCTACAGCTAAGAATTAAAGATGTGGGCTGCTCGCTGCCCAGCTCTCTAGGTGTGGGAACTGAGGGAATGATGGGATGTAGAAGGTAGCCGATGCCATGCCCAAGGGGCAGAGGCAGCCAACCTGTTGTCCACTAGCAGCGGAGAATTTGGGGCACCCCATGCATAGGAATGGGCTGGATGTGGCACGGGAAGGGCTCCTGCCTGCCTGGCACCCCAGAACTGTTAGCTGCTGCCTGCTTCCCAGCCCGGTTGAATGAACAGGCAAAGGGGAAACCCACACCAACACACTTATGTAGTGCCTATTTACAAGCAGAGGAAGCTGCCTTATCCTGCATCCAATCATGGGTTCCACCTGGCTCACTATTGCCTACACTGGCTGGCAGCAGTTGTCTGGGATTTCAGGCCGGGGGCTTCCCCAGCCCTGCGCAGAGATGACGGGGAGCTTTCCCACGCAAAGCATGCACACTCCCACAGCTCTTCTTTAACATGTTAAGATTTGAGGTTCTGAGCGCTGCCGCTGCTTCCGTCGAGGTTGGCAACCATTTGAGCATGCGCCTTCCTGCCCAGGTTTAGGGATGTGTGTCTGCGGGGAGTATTTTGGTGAGGGCTGTAAGTGAGTAGCGTATTTGTGTGGGAAGTGGAATGTGATGAAGAGAATGTATATAAAGTGTATGTCGAAGGAGGCAGGTGACACACAGGGATGCAGGTGCTTTCTCTCTTGTGATGAGGAAGCCTTTATGGCCCTCTAGGTGTTGGCGGACTCCAACTCCCACCAGGCTCTGCCAGCATGGGCAATGGCCAGGGAGGGTGAGGTTTCTGGTTCAGAAACATCTGGAGAGCCACGGGTTCCCCCATCCCTGCTCTTAACAAGGCAGGGTGCATAAAGAAGACAGTTCTTACACAGGATTGGCCGTGAGCTTTTTGTTACAGTTACAGGTGTGTTTGGAAGAGGGGGAATAAGGTGAATGTGGGGAACTCCTATGGCAGGATATTTGTCAGGGGCTGCTGTCAGAGGGAGTGTGTATCTACTCTAGAGATCCTACGGTGCAGTTCCATTACAGTGGTACTTCGGGTTACAGACGCTTCAGGTTACAGACTCCGCTAACCCAGAAATAGTACCTCAGGTTAAGAACTTTGCTTCAGGATGAGAACAGAAATTGTGCGGCGGCAGCGGGAGACCCCATTAGCTAAAGTGGTACCTTAGGTTAAGAATAGTTACAGGTTAAGAACGGACCTTCAGAACGAATTAAGTTCTTAACCCGAGGTAGCACTGTACTAGCGTTAAACATCCTGAGGTCCTTTGTAAGCTAGAAAAGATTCCAGTGGAATGAAATGAATAACAGTTTCCTTCTAACTAGGGCAGTTACAAATAAGGGAGGGTGTGTGGGGGTGGGACAGATTTCTCTCTCTCTCTCCCAGTTCATTGTCACATGGAGCGAGACTCCTAATGTCCACAAATGATTGCGAGTACAAACTAAGGGAACAGGATTCAAAGATGTGAGCTGATCTACTTGCTGCATGCTGGAGGAAGGCTGCAAGGCACCAGGAGTGTGTGATTGGGTTGCTTTTTTGCCAGGAGTATGAAGAATTAATGGCTCACAGAGGGGTGGTGAGAAAAGAGACCATCGCTGCTTCATGGTGACCTGGGGGAAGCCGGCACTCTGGCCAAGGGAAGCTGGAAGAGAGATCTCTCAGCTGGCATTGTGGTCACCCAGATGCCTCTCTGAAACCTCAAACTATCTGCTTCCCCTCCTCCCACCCCATTATGTCTGCAGAGACCTCTTTCCCCCCCAGGTTGACACTCAGTGGTTTCTTCCAAAGGGAAAAAGGGGGGGGGACACCACCAGGAAGGTGAAAAAGAAAGGGGGGTGCCCAGAAGTACCTTTATTGAAAACTCTGTATTTTCAGTTACAGTGGTACCTAGGGTTAAGTCCTTAATTCGTTCCGGAGGTCCGTTCTTAACCTGAAACTGTTCTTAACCTGAAGCACCACTTTAGCTAATGGGGCCTTGATTTCTGTTCTCATCCTGAAGCAAAGTTCTTAACCCGAGGTACTATTTCTGGGTTAGCAGAGTCTGTAACGTGAAGCGTATGTAACCCGAGGTACCACTGTACTGTATTCTTGAGAGGCACTTTTAGGCACAGCCAACCTGAGTCTTTGGCCTCCCACTCTACTGCAGTACACATACTTGAAAAAGATTTGAAGAACTGACAAATTCTCTCCAGATGCAATGAGTAATACTATCTCCTGCCTACAGCCCAGTGCAGGAAGTGGAGAGGAAAAGGGAGATGATAGATGCAAAAGGAAAAAAAGAGGCATCTCTTTTCAAGTGTCAGAACTAGGAGTTGCTGCGTAAGGCTAGTCCGTCTTGGACTCGACATACGTGTAGGAAGGCGTTGTGTGTGTAAATGGAGCAGAAATGTGTATTTTGGGGGGAATGGGGGTGGGGAAGAGAAGGGAACCAAAAGCATCTGTCAGGTAAGTGAATTATGCTTCAGGGAATGTTAATAAGGGTCTGCTGAGAATGAGAGATGAGCACTCTCTGGCATGGAATATCTGTGTAGGTCCTTGCCAGAGAGTTCTCATTTCAGCAGACCATTATTAACATCCCCTGAAGCATAATCCAGTTATGCGACAGATGTTTTTGCTCCCTTCCCCTTCCCAACCAACATGTCAACTCTTTCCCCCATAGGAGTAGGGGGTAACATCAGGAGTCCATGCCACACATGAATGGGATCACAACCAGTTGTGCATGCCTTGTGAATATAAGGGAAAGTTGGCCACGAACCACTGCCATCTGCAACAGTAATTTTATTTTGCTAATCTACATGGCATATTCCCTCACCCTAGTGTGATGATTTTAGTTGGCTATCCATCCTAACAACACTCTAGTTAGCAAGACATACACACTGGTATTTCCAAACAGAATAATCTCCGCATAGGTTAAAGACGACTGACATCAAGCTGTTGCAGACTGCATCTCAATATGCAAAATTCCTTGGAAATGTTGACACTTAGTTTGGGATTTAGGTCACATCTTCTCACAAATTTTTGTGTGAAAGAAACCGAGCACAGCACCTCACTTTTCCACGCCTCCTGAGCTGCCAAACCTGGTACAGTACATTCTGGGTTAGCCAGGAAAATCAGATTTCATCAATTTTGCCTCTGGATGAGTAAATCTGAAAGCACCTTTCAGTGTAGCCAAATTAGAAATAAATTAATGAAGCTATCTTAAATGCTGCATTTGTGTTTGGTTACCTTTATTTATTTATTTTTTAAAAATCCAGATTACAGTGGTACCTCAGGTTACTTATGCTTCAGGTTACATACGCTTCAGGTTACAGACTCCGCTAACCCAGAAATAGTGCTTCAGGTTAAGAACTTTGCTTCAGGATGAGAACAGAAATTGTGCTCCGGCGGCGTGGCAGCAGCGGGAGGCCCCATTAGCTAAAGTGGTGCTTCAGGTTAAGAACAGTTTCAGGTTAAGAACAGACCTCCGGAACGAATTAAGTACTTAACCTGAGGTACCACTGTATATACATTCAAAATAATGCATAGAAATGTATACAGATGTTTAAAGGAATAGAGTTTCTGAGAAATTACATAAACTTTACATGCTGTGCTTCCTGTTTTTCTGTTTCTTGATTTGATGGTGACAACTTTAACTTGTTAATGCGTTTGAGAGGTACAGTCATTCCTCCTTGCAGAATAAGAACTGATTACACTATGTAACATGACAAGAATCTGAAACATTCAGTGATGGCTGTAAGAGGCATAGTTTCTTCCTCGCTAATGCTTTCCCTTTGTATCTTAACTACTTAACATGAGTCATTTTGTTATCCACCTCCTCTGATTTATACCACTTAAACTTGCCAAAACCTATTAACACAGCCTGGCACAGAATAGGACTGTTGGTAGGAGGCAGCAGTAATAGGAAAGGATTAAGATTAAGGAGTTCAGTGGCTATAAGTCTACATATTATTATCACTATTATTCATTTCATTTCTATACTACTTATATTTTTAAGGGGAGGGAAGTTTGCAGCCTACATAAAAAAAAATTCAATAAAACATTTCTGAATAAAGTCAAATATGAAGTATACATTCAAAACAACATAGGTAACAGGGAACTAAAATATTATCTTGAAGATTTCAAAATAAAACTTTGCAAAGGAGGTCAAGTACAGAATACACATTTAACAT